GCTGTGGCTTCTGATTGGTCAATAAAGCCTGTTCTGTTGTACCGGTCTTTTACCTATTAGGGCTCGGGTATTCTACAGTGGAGACGGATTAGGGCGCAGACATATTGACCACCTGGTCGCAGCCAATCGTGTGTTTCTCTGCGTTCTAATGGCATGCAAGAAAGATTAGCAGCCAACCAGAGAAGGACACAACTGAGGTGCAGTATATAATGACCGGCGTGGCCAGCGTGAGGAACTTGGATGGAAGGCGCCTGACGTGTGGCTCTGGCTCGTAATTGGTCAATAAAGCCTTTTCTGTTGTAGCAGTCTTCTTCCTATAAGGGCTCGGGTATTCTACAAGGACAGTGTATTTGGGCTCCGAAATATTGGACCACCTGGGCTCAGCCACTCTGCTATCGCTTTGCGTTCTGTAGGAGGATAGGCAGCCACCCAGAGTCAGGCACGCTTGAAAAGCAGTATATAATGATCGGCGCAGCCAGCGTGGTGGCCTCGGATAGACGGCGCCTGACTTGTGTTACTTGCTTGTGATTGGTCAATGAAGCATGTCCTATTGTACCAGTCTTCCTCCTACTAAAGCTCGGGTATTCCACATTGGTGGCAGCTGATGCGTTTAATAACGCGATTTGAACCACAACCCTTTCTCAAAAATTGTCAACAGAAACAAAGACCCTTAGATGACACCTAAAGTTCATGTTGACATCCGATAACCCATTTGTTAAATCCATAGTCGTCCGGGATTAGGACTGCTGAATCTGAAGAGGCATTGGTGTGGTCGAAAGGAGGCCAGCTAGACTGCGATTAGAGAAGGTAACTCCGATGGAAGAAGCGGCCTTCATGCAAGTCTACAAGAGCAAAGTCCCTCTCCAACTATTCGCTTTGGCCACTATCCTGCCAGATGTGGGGTGTCGGGAAGTGTCAAACCGGATATTTTACCAATCATCAACTGTTCGGGGAACGAAGCAGGAAGCTGATGACAGCTTTACTCCTGGCGTGCATTTAGTGTACCGACGTCTGGGAGGCGCAGATATATTGGACCACGCCAGCCTCAGCCATTCCTATGTCTCACTGCGTTCCAATAGCATGTAAGGAAGATATGCAGACAACCAAAGACACAAATGAAGAGCAGTATATAATGAGCGGCGTAGCCAGCGTGGTGTATTCGGATGTACGGCGTCTGACGTGTGGTTCTGGCTTGTGATTAGTCGATAAAGCTTGTTCTTTTGTAACAGTCTTTTTCATGCTAGGGCTCCATTACCCCAGAGTAGCGACGTAAAAGTCCTCAGGCATATTGAACAACACATGCCGCAACAAATCAGTTGCTATAGTATCCGATCAGATGTTCCAAACGCTAGTTCAATAAAAGTCGCCACTATCCTGCATGAGGTGAGGTAGCGGAGTTTGTCGAACTGGATATTTTGGCAATTGTCAATGGTGCTGGAAACCAAGCAACAAGATAAGGACAGCTTCCTTCATGAGGAGGAGGCAGTGTGTCGACGTTTAAGGGCGCAGATATATTGAGTCTCGCTGGACTCTGTAAACCCTCCGTCACATCGCGTCGAATGGTCTGTGAGAATGGTATGCAGCCAACCAGAGACAGGCACCCATGAGAAGCCATATATAACTGGCATCGCTACCCACGTCGTACACATGGATGGACGTTGCCTGTCATTTGGTTCTGGCTAATAAATGGGCAATAAAGCCTGATCTGTTTCTTTAGTCTTCTATATTCTTGGGCTCGTGTATTCTACAGTGGCGACATGCAAATTACCAGACATATTGAATCACAATAAGCTCAGGTAATACTTTGTCCTTGTGCATTTGGATGGTCTGAGAGATAGACTTGCATATAATCAGAGACAATGGTCACTGGAAAGTGCTATATAAAGAGCGAAGAAGCCTGTTTAAAGGACTCAAACTGACAGCACCTGACAAACTTGGTTGCGGTTTGTCATTTAAGCTTGCTTTGTTCTAACAGTAATTTTCATTCGAGGGAATGGCAACGCTACAGCAGAGACGTACAAGGGCACAGATATGTTAATAGCTTCGATCTTAGTTAATCATTTGCTTACGAGAAAGATTACCTGCTAACCAGTGTCAAGGCGGATGAAAAGCACTTAAAAATTTGCGCTGCGTATGGTATAGTGTTACTCTGATGGGAAGCTCTGGCTTTCGTCCTGTCGATAGTTTGCTTTATAAAAGGGTTCAAGTAAATTACAGAACTCATCGGAGCACAAAATTACTTAATAATTAATAATCAGACATCCTGCCTGTCCGCGGTCATTGGCAATAAATTTGAAAAATGCTGTTAAATTTGAGGCCACACTGTCAAGTCATTTGATATCATATCATATTCGTTTTCAGGTTTTTTTGAAAGTGCATTAGTGCACCTAGAATCAAATGAAAAATATTGCAAAGAAAATAACCATATGTGCAATCAAACACGAGAAATATCGCATATATCCAAATATTAAGCAAAAGCGGCAATTTCATCAGATACCTTTCCTAATTTAGTTGCCTTTACATGAAGGTGGTAAGGGTACTGTAAGGGTTACATCTATTGCCTCAATAAGAAATTGAATGAGCTAAGATGAGGAAATTCTATCTTGAATTATAATTTAATTATTCTTTCTTGTAAAACTTAAATTATTAGTGCAAATTCTGTAAGTGCGAAACGACATAAAATTTACTTGATAAAGCATATCCAACCACTTAGGCTCCAATGTCTCGTGCATAAAGGCATGAAACGGAACGCACAGATGACATTTTTGGATATAAATTGTTTGAAAATTCTTGGAATAAATAACTCGTTGACTGGTTTAAATGATTAAACATGATGATGATAAAGCTAGTAATTTAAATTTTTAAATCAAAAGGATTCGGCAAAGAAAATTAGTGTATCGTGTACATAACAATTTTACTTATACGATAAACACCAGATTGGGCCTATCCGGAGTATGCGGAGTGTGTTTTCTGCATTTAATTTAACCACGGCCTCAGTGGTTTCTGCTTCTTCTGTTTCGTTGTTTTTTTCACCTCAACGTCTACAACGATCTCAAATGATAGGTCTTCTTAATGAGGTCTAGTCACGGAGATGCGGTTGCCGGTTGTGGGCATCATTATGACGCCCAGCCCTTCTTTTACCCGGTCACCGCGTAAGGACATCAAAGAGCGAGTGGCCCTACTCGTGCATCCACACCCAAGTTGCAGTCGTGCGCTCGCCCACACGCAAAAATGCGTTTGGCTTTGCCGTACTCGCTGGCTGGTGGTGATTTAATGTGGTCAAGGCAACAGTGGAAAAAAACAGTTGTGGATCAAGCTTACACTACGCCTCACTTCATAGTGGCTGGCAGTAACGGTGTTGTCATACAACTAAGGCTACCCAACGAAGTGGACTTTGATTTCGGTTGTTTACGCGAGTGGTGTTTTGGGCTGTCAGTTCGTTCTTCTACACGGTCACACGGCAAGGCAACGGTTTATCTGGATGTAATGTGAACTGTTAGGAAGGTGGTGGTGGTAGTGATAGTGGAGTGACGGATTGCATCCTCGGTGTTCTCACTACCACCGCCTTAGAACGCCGCACGTGGCTTTTTGAAGCGTTCGGTCAAGCACCCTCACCTCACGATTCACATTGCGATCCTTGTACGTATAAGCCCTACCGACAACGGCATCTATGCTTCTTCGACTAGAACATTTAGTGTGGAAATTGTCGTTGTAAAATTGTCTTGTTGAAATCGCAAATTTTAGAACCCATCATTGGCTAAGTGGTCGTAAACACTCTCGGTTTTACGAATACGTCACATGGGAACTTGTTAACACTACCGGGAATAGTAAAAATAACTGTGAAGACGTACCTTAAAACCATAACTCTAAACCATTTTTTTTATTAAAAAAACTAACCTGCAGCCAAACACTTTTTTAATTTAATTATGTGTCACACAAAGGTGCTGTGTCAATTATTCACGTAATAAGCAATCACATGACACGGTTAATCTAAGCAACCTGTAGGCCATAATGTCTCCTTATGTGTTTTGTTGCAGCAAATTTCTATTTGCTTGTTAGTAAAAAAAAAGATGAAATTGTCACACACAAATGTTTCTTGCCGTCCTAACTCGCCAAGACTTAATTTCATGACTTCCAACCACCACTCAACTTTTAACTTATTTCAAATTGAAGCAGTGTAGGTGTTGCAGACATGACTTATTATTTGGTACTTTTGTGGCGTGGTTAGTATGCCTCAGTCACAATGTTGTTACCTATGCCGCGCACACAACTACGAAAAAATGATTTTTTTTCTAATTACTATTAACTAAAGGGTTTTTTTACAATTTGAACTCCCATTGTCATGAAGGTAGAACTAACACTTTCGGAGATTACAGAGCTGCCGTTGGTGCTCAAGGCAGGTGGACTCTTTGATACCTCAAATTTCGGATGCTACAAACGGGAGCACTTTGAATGCCACTTTAAAGGCAAAGCATTGGTAGCCCTAACACGTCGCTAATTTAAAAGGTTAACGCTATCTCTGGCAGGGAGTTTAAAAGCTAACCAAATTACCGTTTCCCTCAATTATCGCCAGTAGAGCAATGAATGCGATTTATCGACGTGTTAGGTACAGACGTCTAGGTATCTGCCGGATAATGCCATGATGTTTGACATTGTTTTGGATAGTGTATCCCCTTTTGTAGAGCGGGGTCAACGCCGGCTTTCAGGACTCCGAGGCGTTGTTGTCGCGTCACCAGGACCTCACCCAGCCCACTCCAGCCGCGATGACGTTTGTTGAGGAGAACGAGGGCGAGAACGCCAACAACACCGCCATGGGCGCAAGTGTGTCCCGACTCTCCTGTCTGGCGATACCACACCGCGACAGTCCTCCCACAGAATACCGGGCAACGCCTCAGTGAGTTTCACTCTATTAGCGCACGGCAAAAAGGTTATAAGACGATTTTAAGAATTTTGTGAGCTGGTTTAGTCGAACGATAGAAATAGCCATGCTGTAGCACCAGTTATGGTGCGGTGTTAGAAAGGGAGTGTTCGTTGGCACCGAGGCAGTGCGCTGCAGTGAGTTCACTGGACGTCGTTTGTTTCTGTGCATTTTGTGTGTGGCTGATGCCGCCCAATCCAACGCCAATTACCCTGAAAAGAAGGAGGAGAACAAAATCGCGGAAAGCCCAACCGTTTATTGCGTCAGCGAGAGCTGACATTTAGCGAGGCAAGGTATCAGTTTAAGTGGGATCACTTGACTCCCGATCTCCGAACGAAAGCCACTATGTGATGTGAATTTACGCTCGCTCAGGCCTAGTAAAAATGCTCGTCTGCTGAACGTCACGAGTTTATATCTTCGAAATAGTGAAGAATCATTTGACCAGAGTTAAATACACTAGCCGTGAAATGCCTACTCAGAAGGCACTCTCCCTCATCTTATTCTGATGGCAACGCGGAACTGAAGTTTTACTTAAACCTAGCTTATAGTTGAGAAGACAAAGTGTGGTTCCTACTCAGGTGAAAATTCTTCAACTGTAGTTAATCAGTGTTGGCACCATCACATCTCGGGCGGGTCGTATTTCGTTGCGCAACTGTGTGCGAGATCAGCGGTGAGATTGATCACGATTTCGCAAAAGCCCATCTCATACTCGCCAGAAATGCCTGATTTACGCAGTCGACGGTCTCGACGAGACGGTTTCTGCGTCAACTATTCATATGGGCACGAAACGATATCAGCTGAATTGCCACGCTTCGTCAGTGTTACTTTCCACTAACGATTGCTAAATACGAAAATATTGCAGAAGCTTGCGAATGCATTGGCGGTCTCTTCTAGTTATTTTGCAATTTGAGCACACACACGCACACAGCCTTTTGTTGCGGGTTTACTAGTGTCATCAAATGTAAGGCAACTGAGAACGGGTATTAGGCCTAATTTTCACTGCCGCTGGTAGCACATAGTCGGTTGGAGACCCCTCCACTAGTGTGGTGGGAGTTTACTGAACCTTAAGAAGTCTTCTGCTTGGACTGATCTGCAGGGAATCAGAGTTCGGTTATTGCTCTTCTGTCTAAAATTATTTCCATAGTAGTATCGGCCACTGGCGTGCATGAAAAGCGTGTAATGTGTTAACGAACTGTCTCGGAATGCCACCGAGTAGTCTGCGTTGACATGGGCCATTTCCCCGAACGACTAGTGCTACAGTCAGCCCGATTCGACCCGGGTGTATTTGTGTTTTGGGAATTTACTCACCCACAGAGTAACCAAGATGCTGCCAAATTCGTTATTATTACCACTATTATTATTGCACTGCACGTAATGATTTACATTGTGAGCATTTATTGTTGTTGGGTTACGTAACCAAATTTTGTTCTACCTATGTGCGATTTTTAATAATAATTTGTGGTTCGATCACATCTGCGCTACCCTCTATAACAAGCATATTTTTCGGCCACCCACCAGCATGCTTAAACATGGGGTGGTTTTTCATGTTGTTTCTTTTCAAAAAGTCGTTTGATTGGAATAACCTGTGACTTCTTCACAACATATGTCCATATTCAACATCCGTTTTAAGAGGGTATATAGGCATTGAGCATCTGACCGACGTAATTTTGATAAAGTTGACACGCATACATTAGCGAGAGTTCAGGCCACCTCGTCACATCGCCTCATCTTCTTCATGGATTATGCCCACACCATCTGCGGTACACAGAAGCATGCTTCGCGTGCGAGTTCCACGTGATCCTCCTTGCAGTCGCAAGCCTGTTCGTTGGACTACCTCCGAGCAACTCGTCGAGTGCGCTATCTTGATGCATAGAACGAGGAAGTAGAATTGTGAGCATCCGGCACCGCGAAATGCGAGATATGAATTTCCCGGGTCGCGTCATCTTCGTGCCCTCACGCAGGCCTAAATTTCACTTGTTAAGCACGGGCAGAACACCCACTACCGTCCAACACATGGGCTGCATAAAACTGCTGCATGCGATGCACGCAGATGCAAGCAAAGCCGGCTGTTCAGAAAACAGATTCTTCGTCACATTTTATTTCTGCAACGCAACAAAAGAATAGAATTTGGCGTCTAGTATTCGATCGACATTTCTGTGTGCGGATCTTAGAATTAATTTGTGCACAAATCCGCTATCGAAGCACTACACATGTTTGCCTCTTGGCGTGAGTGAAACTGTATGAATTCTTTTGAATTTCCTTTCAAATTCAATCATCTATTCTCTTGCTCTCATTGGTGTCACTTGAGCACACAAAACGTTTAATCTTATCGCCAGCAATTGTAAATGGCATTTTGTTAATTCCATTTTTCAAGGAATTGCACTTATGCATCTTACCGTGTGCTTGTAATGTTTTACTGCGACGCTCGAAGCTTCAATTTAGTAATTTCCAACTTCGCGAATCCACCCGCCTTCTTAAGCATCATTATCTTCGATATATACCTGTCCTGAGTCCTTGTTAGTTGTTTCCTTGATTTGATAGCCTCGCGCAGTTATCTTGTTTTTGGACGTGTGGTCCCAACGACTGCGTCTCTATTTCCAATTCTTGCAGTCATCTTGTTTAGTTGCACAACCAAACCATTTGTCTCTACCTATGCCTTTCCCAGGCACCCATTGCCCTGTCCCTCATTCTGCTTTACGCAGGCATTTGATTGGTTCTTCCCCTTTCAACAGAATCAAATGACATCGATTGTCTTGCCATTGCCTTCATGGCATCCACCTCATAAAACACTCCTGAATCCTCGATTGGCATTTCTCGCAGTCGGTGCTCTAAGTCGATGTATAGATCAGTGGTCTATGTTAGGCGCAATCACACAAATTTCACCATGTAGGCAGCTCTAGCGAGTGAGTTGTTGGCGGGTGCTTTTGTGCCTTCCCGTAGTGGTCTAATTTCGTTTGCTAAAAACAATAACAAATCCAAGGGAACTGGAATACTGGAATGTTGCACTTTATGCGTGCGTGTGCCTAAGGTAGTCCTGGTGTTGAAACGAGGCTGGCACAAATTTGGTGAAGGCTTCTGTTGCGTCAGTGTGCACCCATTGACCCGCCCCCGCGGAATTCGTTCGAGTGGCCACAGCTAAATTTCTGAGTATTTTCTTTGCTCTCAATACGCAAAAGGCTGGAAGACATGGACTTGGAAGGACTCCATGTTGTCTGTTCGTAGGACGTGACTTAACCTTTTGTACTTGCCGTAGGCACACCCTGCCATTTCCTTCCTTGTCAGCTGGGATTATGCGTTCCTCAATTTCCTCAAGGCGAGCTCAGGTGAAAGGTGCAGCGTATTTCGAGGACCTCATATGATTGCATGAGCGATCAGACGCTGCCAACGTATTCGTGTTGAGCAAACCTTGAGCGCGTGAATAAATCGAACGCCAAACCACGTCCACTTTCCGGGATGGTGTGGTTAGGAGTATGGAAGTTGACAAAGCCAAGAGCCTTTAAGACAGCTCGTTCTTAGAGGCGGGAGATTCACCAATTAACAAAGTCAATGACACTTTCCAGTCATTTTATCACGCGCACACAGCTGTTGGCTTACACAAACGATAATCGCTTATTTCGATATCGGCACAAATATTGACAAATTGCTGTCATGGCTACAAGATTAAACATGAAACTTGTTGAACAGCTTTGTTTAGGCTCATCATCGTGATAGAGGTGTTATAAAGCGGTAGTGCAACGCAGTTCAAGCAATGGTTGCGTGCTCGTGATACGTGGTTAAACACGCCTTCAAATTATTCCTCGCTCAGTAAATTTAATTAATGACGCCTAGGTTCGGGGGCGTTAAAACTTTGTACAGCGTGCGTTTAAATAAACAGTTCACTTAAACAGTTTGGATGTGCCTGAGACAATGTCTATGTACGTGTTTTACAAGTAATTTATTGCCAACTGACCCTACCCAAATGCCCGCAAATCCCCAGCGTCGTAGTACGTGCTGCGTCCCTTGCTTTTTCCGCATCAAGAACAAAACGGTGAGTCTACATGTTGAGTTCGGCACAAAATATTTACAAGGAATTTCAACTGTTTAATTTTTCATTTTAACCAAGGCAGCACTGGATGGCGTGTCAGCCGATTTCAATTTGCTTGGTACACCAGTGTTGGAAAATATGGTTTTCAGAACAACGTCGAGTCACACTTTTCGGACCACCTTGTTGGTAGCGTCTAGTGTGGTCGGCCTGTCTCAGCGAAGTTTGACTCAAACGTCTACACACCTGGCTGGTCTTTCGAGAGAAACTCTTTCGATTAAGTCCAACACCTTGTGAACCTATGTTTGTATTGTTGTGCATTAGGCATTTTCCATACACCCGCTAAAACGTGATGAAAAATCTGTTGGCTGCATTTTAAGAGTGTGTTCTTTACGTTCATGTGTGAAATGTGGGCGTTAATTGCAAGATTGTATGCGGTCAAGCGCATTAAAACGCTTGCGTACTTCATCAAACTACGTGCAACTCAGCAGATAATTATTCGTGTACCCAGTAAGCTGGTTTTCCGTGAGGGAATGCGAATCTTAAATGACATCTTTAAACATGACCCTCGGACGAAGGTACGCTTGAAGCTGCTATGCAAAATGCACTTTAATTTCGCTGAAATAGAAGTGCAACACAAATTAAACTCATCGAAGTGAGAAACTGTGCCATAGCACTCATGTCGAGGACCCCTGTAAGTGATCGTCAGCTATGTCTTCAATACGCCACCCGAAGACTTATTTATATCGTTACTAGTTTTTTTTACAAATGGAATACACCATTTCGCGCTTCCTCATTGCTGTAGCACATTGTGCCACCGATTCAACGAAGGCGGCTGCTTTGGGGGCAGAGTTACAAGCAACGCCGAAACCGTCGTCCACAATTTACTGTATTTTACGCTCGTCGTTCTCCAATTTTAGCCCTCCAAAAATATTCAAGGGTGTGCCTGCTCTGCCCACATACGAGGATGCCACGAAACGTGGCATGTATTGCATAATCAGGGAGTCAGACATTACCGCTCCGCCGCCCTACCAATACCGGGTCCCTGATGATGATTGTGATGACGACGAGGCGGGTCCCCTCAGTGGTGGGGCCAACGGGGCCTCCCATGAGGCTGCCGTTTTCGCGTCCATCTCGTCATGGGATTTCGACGCCTACGGTGTTCACAGAGGGTCCGTCAATAGCATGCCGGAGTTTTCGTCGATTTTCGGGCCACCCGACTCGCCCTATCCAGGGGACGTAAGTTCACACTGGTGTCCATCTCATTTGCGTTTCAGTCAGCGATTAAAGTCAACTTTTGCGTGCTGTCGGTTCCGCATTCCAACCGCTCATGGACCCACTGGTCTTACATTGAGTTACAGAAACATCAGGACTTGTTATTTTCTGCGATGGCTCTTTGGAAGAATTTAGGTGAAGGTTTCTTCGAATAATGCAAGCCTCTCTATTAGTCTCTGCACTCCGATGAATGCAGCGCCTAATTGTTAAATCGTTAAGCTGGATTTGACAAATCCACTACTGTTTAGGTTCGTGGGGATCAATAGTCCACTGAATATTTGTGGGTGAGAAATACTGACAGTCGCCATTTTGGTACTGACCAGGATGGTTCGATCAAACTATTTGACAGGTGCACTAAGTTTCATATTATGGATTACAAAACTTACACGTTGAAATTCTGGTCAGTTTGAGGTGTCCCAACTTGAAGGTACGACTAGCAAGCGACACAAAAGTGAAGTGAGAAGAAGCTCTGATTGCGCTGCAAGTAGGCCACTCTGATGCCGTCATTTTCGCTGTCTTCCCATGGAAGTTTCATCTCTTCGAGGTATCACTAAGTCCTTTTTTCCTGGTTCTGGCTGTTATAGTGGCATTTTTCTCTTTACATGTCATTTCGGATTCTTATCTGAGGTGTCTAACTAGTTCGGGTAATGATGAACTGGAGTCTGTCTCGTGACGATTTTAAAAAGATTCTATCGCTCATAACACGCATACATCAAGGGCTCCTTTCTACTCCATTTTCAGAGTCCCCAGTGACGCCGACTGGCGCAAGCCCAGTTGTCTTCTTGCCGATGCGAAGATTCACCCCACCGCCTTCACCCGCGGGCCAAACTATTTTAATAAAGTCCAACTCAACGCCTTCCCTCCTTCCTTGCTGTGTAATTTTTTGTGCTTCTTTTTGACTCTTTGGCCGTCTTAGGAGTTTGCTCTTCTAATTGACGACGTTTTATGCTAATGTACGACGATGCCTACTTCCTTTTTGCTATCCTTTTGCGAGACCTCCGCACCGTCACAGCTGTGATCACCACCTCGTGCCAATAAGCTTATCTGCATTCTCTGTAGGAACGCGTGTATGAATGTACCCAAGAGCACACGTTTGTATATATTTACTTCGAGTAAATGCAGTCCTTTATTCGTAAAACTGTTCATTCTATCAACTGGCGTACTTCTACTCTTCAGATTCCGCCTTTGTGTGATGTTCGTCTTTTGTGGATTCATGCGGAAATGTAGGCCTGAATAGATAGGCAATAGCACAAAAGGAACGGTCCATATCGCCAATAAAATCACGGATTTATTAAATAAAGGAGCGAGTGTTCACGTTTCAAAGGTATGGTACTAGTAGAATGTCGCAGGTTCAACAAATGCCTGCCCCTAAGTGTTGTTTTTGTCCGAGCGTTGACTCTGTTGCAGAACCACTGCTCTTGTTAACACAGCACCTAAACCGCTGCGAGAAGGCCGTAAATTTTTTGTACGAACGGAATTCTTCACTGCGAGATAGCGCGGAAAGTTGGGTGGTATGAAAACTCTGATGTCAACTCGCACCCACGCACAGCGCAGGCGACACTTTTTCCGCCACAGCACCGCTTCGGCGCCACCAACTGTGTCGCGATGACGCAACTGTGTGACACTAAGAGGCCAGTTCCTTTGACGGGGCAGGCACTAATGTTTCATGCAGGGTCAGGGTGTTGGTGCGGCGCGAACCGACACACAAGCTAAAGTGCCTTGGTGACGTCAAAAAGGGGTCTAGCCGGCCAGCGAGTGATCGGTCAATGTGTGCCTGCTCAGAAGTCACCTGTGGTACGTGTCACGCGCCCTTCACAAGTGTTAGATCTGCAACACGTCTTGCTCCTTTTCATAAACAAAATGTATGCAAATGGGTTTCAGCGAAAACCAAACTCAACTTCGTGTATTTTACAAGTTTAGATACAAAAAGGGTAAAATCCCGCAAATTAGCTTGCGCTCATTTTATTGTCACAATTAGTGCTTTTTATGGTACCAAGGGTAGTTCTTCTATGGAACAGCTGACAATTGGACGAGTGGCCGGTAAAGCCACTGTAACAAAATTACCATTCGCTCAAACGAAGCACTAGGATCGGGCTTTTTAGCCTCGAAAGCGCTGTTTGCCGGAAACCACAACCACCTAGGCAATTCTTTATCGCACCACGCCAACGGGATATGCTAGGGCCCATTACCTACGACACGGATTCAAACTTCACATTCAAATGCCACATGACGGTGTTTTCTTTTTATCGTCAAGTCAAAAAACAGAACCAAATCCATCTAGCGACCACATCGAACCAATCTCGTTAGCCTAGTGCGTGAAATTAAAGACGCGCTCACTGACATGACCAAGTGGCCACAGGATCACTACTTGTCGGCAGCCCAAAGGAGAAAGCTGTCGAAGACATATCAGACTCAACTATTTTCGGTAGTCGTTGAGATGTCAGGTGGGGCTCTAGTTGCATTTTTCTGTACTAGGAAATTGTGTGTTTGCCGATTTAAGCATAATCCCACACCAGCGAAAACACCGACGCTGTTGAGGTAGCACCCACCAGCGAGTGTAAGTAAGCTTATCGTATTTCCTTTCTTCGAAAAGACTCACTAAAGTTTGCACAAGGAAATAAAAAAAACTAATTATAAATCATTAAAATGCGAATAGACATAGCTAAGGGTTATGGTTGTGAATTGCAAACGCGGGACATCGTAAATGCAGATTGGTAGAAAGGAACACACACGTAAATGCAAAGCAATAAAAACGACAAAATGAGACTATTCTGGAGAGCGAGCTGGAGATCACAAGTCACCAGGCAGGAGGGTGGGTTGGGGGCCGGTCTTCGATTCATCCAAGGCAAGAATGTCGGGCTGTCGTGTTTGGGTGTGCCACACGAGAATCTAGGGGCGAGGGAGAATTTAAGCATTTAGGATGCGACGATATCACGCTGGGCACCTTGCGATTCGTTTTTCCCAAGCTTTCACCGAAGGTGCATTCACAAAACCCCAGCAGGAAGGCAGTCCAATTTGCTATCGGTTCGTTGGTGATCATCCAAATTACGACGAAGAACACTAGTCTACTTTTGCCCGTGAGTCACACAAGCAGAAGAAAAGGCATTACATATGCCTCAGGGTGAAACCAAAAGAGTACACAGCGAAGAAGCGAAATTCATGCAAATCACAGCGTCCGTTGGAGCTCAAAGATGCCTTTAGGTCACACCTAGTTTGTGGGGTGATCAAACTGAAGAATGCAAATTAGCCCATGCGAGGAGAAGCCACAACAGCTAATGTGTTTAAGATGAAGACACTTGAACCACAAAACCGTCTCTGTGACTCCCCGTTAGACTACGAAACTTGTTTTAAAGAGATTCCACATGGCACATGATCCTTCTAAACTTTAACGATCCCAGGTGTTCTGATTGATACATATTACATACAACGGATCAGTGTCGCCTTATTTTTCAAGCAAGAACTCCAGACAGCGTGTTCTTCATGGCTGCACAAACTGCAGTTAAAATGGCGCATACAAAGCACGCGCTCGACCAAGTAGCCACGGAGTTTACGCGTTAGCTTCAAAAACTGTGATGCTAGTACATGCAGCTTAAAGTACAGGAAACAAAATCCATTCGGAACACGACACATAGATTTACGCCAGTTATTTTTTTTTCTAAATTACACGTGACTAGTAAAATGCGTCCTTTGAACCGGTTTGCTATGACTTTAATTGCGCAAGATGCCTAGTGGAAAGTGTTAAATAGGCCTTCAACTTTCCCACGATACTACTTATTGGATACACACACACTTTATTTTGGAGGTGAATATGATAGACCAAGTCTCCGAACGAGAACAGCGCGAGCCAGGAATCGCTACTATTAGCTTTGAAACAGTAAGCCAAAATCCTGCTTAAAGGGAGCACTCAATATGGCGTGAGTGTGCGGTGATGGATAAAAGTAAAATTCAACCGTACGGTTAACGTAAAAATGCACTAAAAGATGCCGCCTAACGATGGAAAGAATAGAAAGCCAGGTTGAGGTCGTGGGGATCGCGACAGCGGTAATGCAATTAAAGGGATTCTAGAGTTTACAGTAAGTTCATGGCTTCCACCCCAAATTGCGGCAAATAATCGCAGCTCATCGATTTTCCTGTCACTAGGCGTGAATGCTGCATTCGTGCTTACCAGCAGCGACGACCTTCAACCGTGTTGACGTCTTTGGCAATACTCTGTGCCATGTTTCACACACTCAAAAGCTTTTCCTCTACATTTGGGTAAACTTTGAAGGACATACATTTGGAAATGAAAACGCACAATGAAAGAGAAAAAAAAATATATCACTGAATTGTCCAATACAAAGTGTCATTTTGAGAGCACTTTATCCATTTACGACAGTGAGTTCACTATCACGTGTGCATAGTCCAAAATGTACTAATAAAAGACATGGCATACGCTTCTACCACAAAACATTAAACTGGCTCCAGCCGTTGTTTGCATCCAGTGGAAACTCTTAGAGGTTTTTCACTGGACAAATTTCTACACAATGGTCAGATTCTTAAAAAGTAGTTTGTCTTGAAACATATATTTATAAAATACACAATTCTACATGTTTACGCATGCTCCATCCACTGATGCGAATGCCACCACAGATCTGACCCGACATTGCAACATACGTAGCTTCAGTTTGCCAGATTAGGCACTGCACTGCTACTAAATGACATTAAGTAACGCGTTTATTTACTTTCTTGAGATATCCTACAAGATAACCAATGCTCCTCTTTCTGAGCTGACTGAACAATGCAGTGACTCATGGAAGCTGGTTTTAAGTGCAAGATCCTTTACTTCGAAGGTAATACAAAAAGCAGCTTTTGTGGTTTTCGGCCAAAGCTGCAGGTATGCAATCAACAGTAGCATTAGAAGAACCAAGACCATTGCTAATGGCTGCACATGGGTATATTGGTCTACTCCCGATGAAGAACCCTCGCAAATAAAAAATATTGTCCATTCGGCCGATCTGGCACTTGCGATTAGACGTCATCAGAGCGGGATGAACGAAGATCACTGCCGCACAGGGCTTAGCGAACACACGTCAAATGCACGAATCAGGGTGGTGCGTAATAACTCCTACACATAGTGTGACCCCAGAATGATCTTTGATTGCTATCGTATGGCATGTTTTTTTTCCTGTGGCATTGGCAGAAAGCAAAAGGCACTACTATTACAAAATAAGCCATCACGGTGGGCATAAACACACTTGTAGAACTAGGGAAAATACATGAATTTAAGAAACAACAGACATGTTAGCTGACAGAATGAAATAATTAAGGAAAATCGTGACTGCTCAACTCAACACAGTAAAACCTGCGCACATTGCCTTTGTTTTCAAGAAAATACCTTAGATTTAGAATAGAAATATGCTAAACTAAATTAGAAAGGATAAAATTAATAAGATCCTGGAAAGATATCAGCAAATTAAAAAGCATGACCAAGACTAACGACACTGGTCAGAAATAAATTGGCACTAAGGCGCTCATGAGTTATACACAAAAGTTTCCCTAGGCAAGCCCAGCACCTACAGTCTAATACGCCACTTCAAACGGCCAATGCCTGTGCTTTGAAATAAAAACCCGGAAATCACAAGGTACTATAGAATTGGTCAGAGCTCAAGTAATTATCGTGCACATACACGCAGGTATTAAAGCAGACGGGACGTACCCGCCTGCAGCCATCGGCTTTTGGTTCAAGGTCAGAGAAATTTCGCAGACCAAGTTTCTTCAAGAAGGTGCTTTCCAGCATTCCATAGTAATTTGGATTGGCGATAAAGATCGCATCAGGATGAGAAAGAATTAGGCGAAGGTTAATTGCAAATCCGGCCATATCGATTGGGAATTCCCGCCAAGGTTTGAAGATAGTTTGCATATGATCAATCACGTCGGGGTGATCGGGTTTAGTTACACACCCTTCCCATAAAAGCCGACCAACAAACGCAACAGGCCACGTAGAGGCGCGCTTCGTGGTGCGTATCTGCACGGTAAAAAATCACTTTATTATTAGCATAGTATGTTTGGACTGGCGAATTAGTATTTGACAGTTCGCATCACATATTTGTGGGTGGTATGGATGAATAGTTAAAAATAAATTCTGATACAAATCTTTTATACCCCTAAATATCCAAGATTAAAGTCCAATAAAAACAACTTTCCATTAAATGAAAACGAGAATCAAAGGCGGACAAAACAAAAATGAATTTACCACAGGCATAAAAGTTACAGAACAAATTAATATAGCAGCGAAAGTACATACATGCTCAACAGTATTAGTTGAAAGTACTGCCGACAACAATTCAGGAACTTATGCTATTTGTTGCCATCTATCACCAACTGATCTGGCTTCATGGAATTAATAAGTTTGACACTATAGCTGTAATCAAACGTTTTGACCAAACATGACGAGATTCACGCCTTACATTTTTTTATTTTCTACTTGTAGCAGATCACAATAAGATAAGCAATCAAAAGTAAGTGCAAATTAGCAGAGTTAGAATCCGGATACGTGCATAGTGCAAACTTGCTGGATAAATATCTGGAAGTCAGGTTCTACGAGAATAAGCTTGAAAAATACGAAAACTCTAATGCCACTCTGTCATGCGAAATTAAAGCTAGCAAAAGTATTACCTCATTAAACAGACGGAGGGAATAGGTGTTGTCATCGTCAGCAAAATAAACCACTCCCTCATCGTGACCGGGCTTGAGTGTTTCTCGAAGCCACTGAAGTCCGCGATTGCGTTGAGCAACACCGCGAGCATATCTCCAACTTGGTTGGCCTGGGGGGAGAACTTGTTCCGGTGGGGTCTTTATTGCGAGTAAAGTAAATGATACTCCACACTGTTCAAGAAACCTCCGAAGTCTTCTGGAAAGTGAACGAAGCAAAAATCAAAATGGGATACTAGTGAATCCGAACCCAACTCAATGCAACACATGGAAAAAGCTTACACTGATGCAATATCTGCATCTTCGATGACAACCCAATGAATCTTGCTAATGTGCAAAAGAGTGTGACACATCCGCGTGAGTTCAGGAATCTGAACCAAACGATGGTACGTAGCAGTCAAAACATAGATTATTGGAATGGGTTCTAGAGAACTTCCATATTGCGACGCAGATTCCAAGCAACGCTTTGTTGCAGTTAAAAACGGAGTAGTGGAATTAAGAAACCGCCACAAGATAACACTGAAAAGAATGTTTAAAGAGACGGAAAACCACAGAATACACGACAAATTCGACTTTTTCGTCACAAAACGCATTACGAAATCCCGTGTCGCGGCATGTATGAGCAACGCCATATTGAAATTGGCCTTGAAATCGAATAATCATTGGATAATTTTGGGAAAGCGCCAAGCCGTGGTGGAATCAAGGGGCTCAGTGGACAGTTCAAAGATTGGGGCATGATTGGAATAGCCAATCTCTTAGCTCGATGTCTTTAGCTGTGTCAGAGTACATGAGCGGTCCAGTCAATGTCAAGGACGGAGGCGACGCTGGTATTTAATAGAGAGCGTGAATTGCTCAAATTTGCTCTGTGAGTTTTACTACTGTCCTTCTCGTGATGCCTCGAAGTATTACAGACGGCGCTGGTTTCCCTGACTGGCTTCCTGTTTTGAAGTCCCTTTTAAATGAGCTTACATTCTCTAATTCAGCTCCCGAGATTTTTGAAGTGGGAGGGGACTTTCTCCTTGGGTTCTCTCGCATGGACTTAATTCTGTCTGGTTTCTCCCCAGAGCAAAGGGCTAGAAGACTATTGTGTTGTCTTTCGACCAGCGCTTACCAAAAGGCCCGGTTACTGGGACCTTTGGACAACCTTTTGTACGAAGAGTTGGTTGAGCGTCTGTATGAGGTGTTTTTACCAATCTCTTTGCGGGCAAAGCTTTTTAACAATTTACGTCGCCGCTTTCATCTCACTGGGGAAACCATTGAAGACTACATTGTCGATATTTACAATCGGGTAGTTCGGATTTTCAGGAGACTGAACCCTCAACTACATGATCATATTGCAGCGAACTTCATCCTCTCGGGTCTCGACGTAGAATCACTTCCCAGGTATGCGTTGCTGTGGAATCGACCACTGCGGGAGGTGCGTGAAGCCCTGCTCAGTGATCCCGATCTGCTGGCACGACGACAGCCCATACACTACCCCTTCAACGCCCACCGGCGCTTCCGGGTTTTCATTATTGCTTATCTAGGGAATTCAAACATTCTCATAATCCCTTTCCACGAACACATTCGGCTAGCCGCTCTGCGAATGGCACTGGTGCGTTCTCTCACTTGCCCATTTGTATAATCTACAGGCAACATACCTTAAATACCAGAATAGACTTGACAGGCTAATCACTTAGTCGTCTTTTTCTAGACTCCCGAATCATGCACCAGTCTTGCTGGCGACAACAACGGGGCTGGTTAAGAAAAAGATTTATCGACACAAGCAACTGAAACAGAGACTTCATGCCTACTCGAAGACCCTTTTAGAGAAGCTTTTTTTGAATATTTTATTTGCCTGTGTATTTGTCACCGAATTTGTACTTGCAGGTTTTACTTACAGACTGTAAACACAATTTTTACTCTCGTGGTTGTTCTCATGCAGATTTATCATGTAATCGAAGCTTCTAAACTCGCATGAAACAAACATGGAAAAGGGTAACGCAGTAATTCACCCTTTAGACAGGGTGTATGTCTGTGGTGTAAGCGTATTTATGAAGTAGTTTGTGAACTGTGAGGATCACGTGTGTGTGGGAACCAATATAAGGTCAAAACACACTCACGCATAGTACTTGTTCTCGAACAATCTCCCACACGCTGGGTCGCTGTTTGTTCTTTATTGCTATGGGGATTGCGTTTTAGGCATTAATTTGGGATTTTCCAGCACCGACACGACATTTTGCAGCTTATTGCTTGGACTTAGAGAAGAAAGCACGCAACGCCGTGGTTTTCGTGTCTGGTTTTCTACCATTTATCTATTCGTCCATCCGAGTGTTTTTGAGGACAGTCGAACCGTTCGAGTATGTGCTACTTCACTTGAAACTCAGCGCCTTTGTAACCGCCTCTGCTAGTCATGCAATTACGGGTGCAGCGTTCCCTAGTGGGCGAATGGACGTTTCTGTCCATTTTGTTATGTCATCTTTCCAACTGAGACTACGGATGTGCTGTATGGTTGCTCACTGCAACAAACTCACCAGCGTTGGTAATTATGAGCAACTAGATTTTGTGAAAATAGGTTAAGCAGTGCACTTTTCGTGTCGCTGGGTCTCATCGTCCGATACTCTTTCTAAACTGAAGCAGAACAGTACTAGAAGTCTGCTCGTTCGTTATTGGACTATGCTTAGTATTTTAAATAAAATTCCAATCGGACTATCTTTCCATGTTGTGTTAGCATTTTAGCGCCGGAAAGGCTTCCCTAAATATTACTTTCAGGTCTATGAAGTATCTGCTACCGATTAAGTATTAGTAGCAAATATTTTGCGATAATTGCAGATGTGAATTTGCTGTCTAAAATATCGCCTACACGAGATACGTTCAACGTTGTTCGTGAATATGTTTGAGCTCGATTGCCTGATTTTTGTTCAACCTCATGTGTCAACTGTGAATTAATGATATTATTGGTTAATCTGCCATTTATCCATCTTCACGCATGTTTAATAACATTACGAAATTTTGCATGAGCAAACTCATGTTAGTTTCATAAAATTATAACTCTCGATGAAGCGATGGATTAATGTAAGTAGGTTTCAAACAGATACTACTATCTTCGTTAAAAATGCCTAAGGTTTGGTCATACGTTTTGTTTTTTGAATGATATTGGAATGTTGATATTTTGCCCCACGGTTTTATTCATCGCACAGAGTTGAACTTATTTTTTGCCATGAAAACACCAAATAAGCCTGCCAAGACTGCAATTTTCGCCAAAACGTGGCGTCTTTCTAATATGAGTCCCTTTTTAAGTTTGATCTTCTCCACTAATTCGAAGAACTGAGCACTTGAAAGCCGCGTGCCGCGTGAGAAGTTTTTTTCTGTTGTTAGGGCAGAAATGGAAGTGAGCTCCCTAATTTGGAACAGTAAACCCATTTTGCGAGTTCGCGTGACTACGTCATGTGCGATTCATCCACAATCGATGCACGCACAAGAGCAGGTCCTTGCAACGTGGACGAAGTGGTTGTTTGCGCTTCAACTGCCCCGCCCCACTCTGCTGTGCGGCTCAAGTCCACTGCGGAGTCCTGTCTGGCTACTTCGCGATGAAACACTGCGCCGAATAAACTAACGGCAATCACACAAAACCGCAGACATTTCTAACTCAACCCACAACTGTCATGGAGGAAAACAGGAATAAAACAACGCGTGGAATTCTCCTGTCTTACTACTAGGTCGTCGTCGACCAAGTATCGCTGAAGTGGATTGGTCAGTGGAAGGATCGTGGGTTCAAATAGCAATTTTGGATATCTCGCGGCTGAAAACCAAGTGTCAGAATGTCAGACCGACTTAAACAACACTAGCTTTGATAAGGGGAGCGGTTGCCAATGCTATTTGCCACGTACGCTTGCAGTTCGCTTGACTACACCTTGACAGCGAAAGTGTAACGGATGACTCACTGACGGCGCCAAAGCTAATGCCGGTAATATTAACGGCAAGTGCTACAGTGGTTAGGAAAGCAGTGTGGAATAATTCGAGGCAACTCGCATTCTTTTTGATGAAACAGTTGTTGTTAGTACACATTGTTTTGTTTTTAGCCGATCAAAATTTTTACATTGGAGTTCGGATTCACTCCCCAAACTGTCCCGAGGTGTAAAAGTGGCGCCTTGTACCGATATCTTGCATTGAAAATATATTGCAGAAAATTTGCATTACCGTGCCAGGGTGTCAGGTCAGCCATTTGGAAACCAACACCACGAAACGATAAATATGCCAACCAATTCCCTCAAGTGTATGGTATTGAGAAGTGAAACTTTAAATTGGGTAAGCGAGTCCATAAACCGGTTACCAATAATTAAGTAATACAATTTGTGCATGCAACTAAGGACATTGAAACTGGATTAAACTCAATAGTACTCTCAGCAGTAGAGGCTTAATAAGGAAACTTTGGCAAGCTGTTGCACCACTAAGGGGAAAAACAAACCCCGTTCTAGAAAACGGGAAGCAGTCTTGCAGTCTGATACACAGAACTCCGGGAATATTTTGCCGGCGTGATGTTAGATGTTTGGTGTCGTGAATGCAATGAATTGCCTGGTGCGCACCTTCACTGCCTCATAGTCATTGCTGTAGCGCAGGTTTTGACTGCTAATCCCTGTATTGTGTCTGGCCCCTGGAGAACCTTGTGACAAGCTAGGAGGCAGGGGAGGTTGCCTGGGGAAATCCACTTTCAGCCCATTAACAGAAGCCAGTAGAGTTTTCTAATATTTGTTATATTCAAAGGGAACTCGTCTGCTTAAACACCATTGCCTTGTACTGTTTTCGCTGACTGCAGCAGCTCAAGCATGAAGTAATATTTTTTTTCGAAAATAACACCCATTATGGAATTCAAAAGGCAACTTACAACTTGGACAGCAGATCCTCAACATCAATTACGCAAAAATATATCGAGGACGTATCAAATGTTAAAAATTAACTATCCGAAGCGCTTGTTTGGTTTGAAGAACCACCGGTTATGTCCGTAAAAATTGCATGCACACCATTCGCGAATGCATCTCCAGAATGACATTGCACGTAAATTCCCCCCACCAGCAAAACCCTGACGGAACCTGAAGCGCTCTGGACTCGAAAGTCCACCGTAACAAGCCAACATGCATCGGACTAGATTTGCCTTGGCACGGATAAGGTCGCACTGCAGAAACTTGACACGCAGACATACAATGGACTCAGTAGCCATCGACAGAGTTGACTGAAAGGCAAGTAGTTTGAAATATGAAGAGTGGATATGAGATGACTGGGCTTTTTTGTGCAGCAAATTACTTAATTAAGTCCCGGCTGAAAATTCATTGTTCTAACCAGTCTGCAAAGGTCAGCCTGTGTTTGTCGTAGAGAGCAGGCGATATCTTTCCATAGTCATTTTTTGACACAATTTGTGTACAAACTTTTGTGTAACCTTGTGGATGTTGGCTGGATGCAGAGAAGTGATTGGTATTACCAAATGACTAAAAGCTGAAACGAATTTTTCAGCTGGCATGGGAAAATTGCAGCAATTCTTAAAAACATAGAGCACCAGGAATATTTTTATCGTCACCAACGATGCTTAATTTGGATTCGCGGAAAGTGTGATGCTATTCCCATTATTATGATCTACTTTTACTTTATGCTGAATCACGGGTGCTATTAAAGTGTCATGCGTGCAAAATCAATTGATTCGTCGGCATCAGTAAACTCTACTATTTTGACCTCCCTTACACAAACCAGTTCTAATGGCAGATGAGGTGGGAAAATTTCTCCCAAAATAGAGGTCGAAACTGATATTGCCGTGACCTTCCTCCCCCTTTCCCGAGCCCATTTTTTCGGTCACATCAATCTCGGCAGGACAGCCACGACCTAACCACCGGTGAGGACAGACTGCCTGCTACGCGACGTGGCAAACCAAGTGTAATTATGCAGACGGTGACCTTAGACTCTCTTGAAACTGAGGCTGAAACTTGGACTTGTGCTTCTCCAGGCAAAAGTCTAAAAAGTTCTCATTAAGTTGCTAACTCGCCGTGTGAGTGGCTGCACGTGCTTTCCAAAACACCATTAAGAGCATCAAAATTCACTTATTGCGATAATAGCCTGTAAATTTGCATTCTCCGTGCACCCTCAATGCCAACACCCACTGGTATTGAATAAATAAGCATATCTTCTCCGCATTATCATAGATCGAACTTGGCTACTTGTCCATTGCTCGGACTAGATTGGAAATTGTTGAGCGCTTTTAACTGGATACCCTAACACATCTCGAATGTAATGGCGGAGCACTAGAGTAGTCGAAAGCGCACATGTCTTGGCTCAAGTAATGTTCTCCCCTTAGTTTATCAAAATGGGGTGTCGATATATTCAAGGAAGTGGCAAGGTATCAGGAGAGTTTTTGTGTGGTTCATCATACCACGTCATGTGGCCTTATTTACACTTTTCAAAAGCAAAACCAATTTAGGAATAAAAGACATTACCCACGGTACAGATCGTTGTCCAATGAAGTGCTCAAGTTTTATTTAAAAGTGCACAGAATTATTTGTACAGTTTCTGGCTATTTGTGCACCCTGACGCAGTGGGCGGTGAGGCCGACGTGAACAACAGTGAGCTGCAAATGGCTCCGGTGGTTGGTGGAATTCCCTTTGCCTTCCGTGGACAACAGTGAGCTACTTCCGGTTAATAAGGGCGGAGTAAAATCGCCTGCAGTCCTTCGCTTGTAAAGAGAATTAATACGGATGCATCAGTGGAGTTTTTGGACTTGTA